AATTTAGGGCAAAGAAGTTCTCGCCCCGTCCAGTTTTCTGTAATAAAAATATCATTTACATACATATAAACAAATTAGGGCAAAGAAGTTCTCGCCCTGCTCAGTTCTTTGTAATATAAATATCATTTACAAGCATATAAAACATTTAGGGCAAAGAAGTTGTCTCCCTGTCCAGTTTTCTGTAACAAAAATATCCTTTACTTAACAAATAAAGAAGCCTAAGCCGTGTGTTACACTGCAATAAAACAAGACTGGCATTTGAGAACACATGGGAAATGTAGAAAAGATGAGCCGCAGGCGAGTGTTTTCTACATTTCTCAAGCGTTCTCAATCATCCGGGGGTTACACAGTGTAATACACGGCTTAGGCTTCCTCATTTGCTTTATGACATAGGGGTAATATGGCGAAAACCAATAGAACATGCTTGGTTGTTTACCAATCAGAGCACATGCAGGGTCCTATCCATATTATAAATACATATAAAAATTTAGGGCAAAGAAGTTCTTGCCCTGTCCAGGTCTCTCTAATAAAAACATCATTTACATACATACAAAAAATTTAGGGCAAAGAAGTTCTTGCCCTGTCCACTTTTCTGTTATAAAAATATCCTTTACATACATATGAAACATTTAGGGCAAAGAAGTTCTCGCCCTGTCCAGGTCTCTGCAATAAAAATTCATTTATATACATTTGTTATATGGTTTGTGTCTGCTGCCAATATAACGTGTGCTCTGATTGGCTAATTCTAGGGCATTATTCTCACATAATGCCCACTGGCTGATTATGTCCTAAAACAAAGCGAAAGGGAAGTAAGAAAACTATTGTTTTTTTCCTGAAAATTGCAGTGACTGAAACCGATGATTGAACACTCTGAGAGTACATTCTATCACGCTGGCGAGATAAAATTTTAGGAGAACAGTGAATTCACAGCATTAAATTGTGAACAAGCTGGTGTGGGACAGGACAAAGGAAACAGCCAGGAAGAAATTGAAACTTTCCTCGACAAGCAAAAATGTACAACAAAACAAAGAAAACAGTTCGAGACATTATGAAAAACATTTCAAGTGACTGTTGTCTGTCATCGATCAACAAGGAGAATGTTGAAGTTTTTTAACTACATATTGGTTTACCTGTTTTGTGTGGTTGGAAGTGATAAATGCATGGACAGATAAGTGCTCGCATCAACACATGGCTTTTTGTTTTGTTTTTGTTTTCATAGGCCATATAACTGACTACTTATTAATGTTCGGTCTGTACGGGAAAATCTCAAATTTGGCCTTACCATAATGACCTCGCTGTTGCTAGATCAATACCGCCAGGCCTCAGTTTGAGATTTTCCTGTAAAGACATCACTTTCAGTTAATATGTAGTTAGAGCAAAGAAGAGAGCAGAGAGAGAGCGGAAGAATGGAAGAATTTCAAATGCTGATATTCTTCCAGCATACAAAAACAGACCACTCTTTATGTAAAATTGACATCAATCACCATTCCAACCCCAGAGGACCTGGTTTCTGGAAATTCAATTCTGCATTTTTGAATGAAGTTGATAACGTAAACACTACCAAGTCAACATTAGCCGAAACAGCCAGTGAGTACAAAAGCAATGAAGAAGGCGATGGAGTGTTACTGTGGGAAATGATAAAACTTAAAGTTAGAGATGCCTCAATGAAATATTCCAAAGTCAAAATAAAGAAGATGAAACAAATAAGGGTAACCCGAAAACACTGACCCCAGGTCCGNGTTATGGGTTGTCTAATAGATCATGTCGGCGAAATTTCGAATGTTACATTTTGCAAATGTAACATTCTTGGTTTCAGGTTCAGGCACAAGTTATATCATTACACGTTGCCATTTCCTTTGCTGTGGCCATACTGTATATGAAGGACCGTGAAAGCCTCCAGGAAGCCTCCGGGAAGCCTTGAAATTTGTGCTCTTCGCCCTCCACCATTTTGTTCAGCCCAGTCTTCCATGGATTTGTGAGCTCGTTCCAGGCTTCATAATTACAGATACAAGCAAGCTTGAACGACTTAAAAACGCATCTTCCATGGCCAGATCAAGCCACGAATGGAAGGTGACAATTTTCCTTCTTTTTGCCATCGGCAGGGGGTGTTTATTACATTTGCACAGTGTAATACTCAAAATTTGGCCTACACGAGTATTCTATTAGACAACCCATAAGTGAAGTATTTATTTCTTATTTTTATTCTATTTTTGGGGGATGGTCTGTAGAGGGGGTCCGTAGGGATAGTCCATGGACCGGTCCATAGCTAGTCCGCGGACCCGGTCCATAGTGGGGGTCTGTGGACCGGGGCTCAGTGTTTTCGGGTTACCCAACAAATAAGGTGCAAGAAAAATGAATTGGAAAATATTATACAGCACAAAAGGGGACATAATTAGATCTAAGGCCAGATGGTACAACAAAGGTGAAAATTGTAACAAACATTTCTTGAATTTAGAAAATAGACACTGCTAGAGGAAAACAATAACGCAGATTAACACGAGCAACGGTTCATATGCTCTAAACAACCCAGACATTTTAGAAGAATGTAATTCTTTTTATAGTCAGCTTTACGCTTCAAAAAAACCACGGTAACATCATGTTCTGACAACTTGTTTTTCGGCCAGGAATACCCTTCACTTAATGATATTGATGAGCAAAAATGTGAAGGACTATTGACTGAAAAAGAATGCTTAGAGGCATTAAAAACAATGGAACCTGGTAAAATTGCCTGGAACAAACTGCCTTCCTTCCGAATTTTATAAAGTTTTTAGGAAGGATGTCTCTCCTTTTCTTTTACGCTGTCTTAACAAAAGCCATCAGAAGGGTAACTTTGCTTTAACCCAAAGAAGAGGCATCATTTCATCAATCTCAAAGAAAGACAAGGCACTACAAGAACTGAAAAACTGGAGACCCATAACTTTATTACACTGTGACTACAA